ATCAACAGCAGCAGCAACAACAACAACAACAACAACAACAACAACAACAACAGGAACGGAGGCTAATGAGGATCTGCTCATTAGGTCTGGAGATCATGATGGGCCGAGAAGTGTTTCTGGGTCCAGATCTGCCAAGAAGTCGGGTCAAGCTAGTAAGCAGCAATCCCTGGCAAGGAAGGAAGATAAGAAGGCGAAGTCTGAAAGCAGAAAGCGAAAACCAAACGAGGCCGTTGCTAAGGATGAAAAGAACGGGAAAGAGACGACCAAGAAACCGGAGAAACGGCTAACCGACAAACAAACCTCGATCAGGATGAGCGTAGAGGAGGAGAGTAGGAGGGACGAGCAGAAGGCAGCGATCGTCGAACAGGGGAGAGGGATCGAGTGCGTGGACAATTCGTCGAAGAGCGAGGAGAAAAAGGTTAAGAAGATCGGTGGCAAGGACGCGATCAACACGCTGGAGGAGGAAATGAAACAGCGTAGAGCGGAGAGGGACAGCCCGAAGAAATCGCTGAGAGGGTTGGACAAATTGTTGGAGAAACGCGAGCATCACGACAAACTGTCGAAGAGCAGGAACTCGGAGGTCGTGAAGATGGAGAAGGTTGTTTGCGACGAGGGGAAGGAGGAGAAGGAGTCCTGCGACGAGGAGAACCGACAGATGAAAGAGCTTGTGAAGAACGAGGAGCGCGAGAATCATGTCAACGAGTGCGACATCGTTATCGAGAAACCAAAGTCGGAGGAGCAGATGGACGATGATGTGATAAAGAAGGATATCGGCGACATGATGCCTCAGGTGGAGAGGATCGCAAGCGGAAAGAGGAAGTCCGATCGGAATCAAACTCAAAAGAGTTTGGACGAAAAGACAACTGTCGAGCAACGAGGCATCGAATCGCCGCAGAATCTCGAGTCGCAGCAGTTGATTCTCGTGGAGGAGAACGTGGTGAAAGAGAGCGTGAAAGATCAAGAGAACATCAAGTCGGTTTTGGAGAGGGTCGAGTGCTCGGAGAAGGAACATCAGAAACGACGAAAGTCTGGCAACAGGTCGATCTTCTCGCCGCAGCACGCCAAGGACGCGAGTGTTTCGGAATTGTTCGACTTTGATCAGGACATGCTGACGGAGGAGATAGTGAACGAGGACGGATTCGGTATATCGAGGGACGTGGAGGAACGCGGTGTACCGTTGAGCTTCTCGTTCAACAACGAGCTGTGGTTCAAAGAAGACTCGAAGGAGGACAGCGCTAGGGAAACGTTGCACCTCGTTGAGAAATTGCGGATGGAACTCTCGAAGAAATCAAATTCTAGTCAGTTCGAATCAGAGGCAGTACCCGCTGATGGCGAAATTAAAAAGGAGGAACCACCGATCGAGAAGAGTACGTACGAGCAACAGCAGCTCCCTCAGCAACTTCAACCGCAACAGTCACCTCAACTTCAACAACAACAACAACAACAACAACAACAAGAAATTGCTCAAACTCAGTTGGAAAAAGAGGCAAAGATTCTCGAGCCTATCGTGGAACGTGAGATTATGAACGTGAAGAACGTTGAAATTCACGAGGAAGAAGAGGTAGTGG